TACAGAGCAGCCTAAACACAGAATCGAGCCATCTTGACAAAACAAACAATGGATGATGGCTCTAATTAAATTAGACTCGTCACTTCCAAGAACTCATAGTCCCCTCGACAGGCTCAGGATGTGACCAATCTAGAAGCCAAACTTCCCACAAGAATCCTCCCTCTCCACACCTCGGTCATTATCATATTTTCATCATGAACTTTTGGCCAACATGTGCTGCTTCAAGATGGCCTGTGATTTATGAACCCTATATTTTTTCGCTTCCTTGTCTTATTGACATTTGAAGCACGCGAATGCCGCTGCCATTTCTGGAGTGAGCGGTAAGTCGCTGTTTGTGTCTCAACCGCTGCAAGACATTGTCAAAAAATAAATAAATAAACAGAATAAAAACAGGCCAAGGTCCTGAATCCTTCTCTGAGTCACGGTGAAGTGGATTTTCTGTCTCGGGAGACGAACCGACACACCCCGCTTCTTTTCTGAAGGCCTTCAACTGCCAAAAAACACTTAGTTTTCCGTCTTCAAGACTTCCCCCGCCTCCTCCTCCTCTGACCTCAGCCAGCTCATCGGCGGGGGACTCTTTTTATCTTTTAGGAAAACAGGTGGTAATGATTGTTAGTCAGAGCTCATATGATGCGGAGCTGTCTGCCTCCATGTGTTTTCTATTTGGAATGTTGCATTTGCTAACATGGCACAGTCAGGTTTAGGAGGGACTCAGCAGATATTTCTGGTCACGCCTGCGACGCGGCTCAAAACAACCACCGCCCGCTCCCACTCAGCTGTTTCGGTTCATTCCACATGGGGTATGGGACACGGGGCGCTTTAACCTCGTGACACGGAAGGGCTTCGGTTGCACAAGTAAGGATCGGCTTCAGCTCCAACATGGAGATTGGAAATAACTCTGCAGAACTTCCTAACTCGCACCGCATTCTGACTCGTGACAAAAACAAATCCCGACCAGCGCAGGGTTTCTTTCTGTTTGCCTGCCCCGATTTCCTCTGCCATTTACCGTCCCTTCAGAAAAATGTCAGGCTGTCTGCGACTTGCCCACGGGGACGGAACGTGTCATTTGGAGTGTGTTCCTAACATTTGCTTGCTAGCTTTAGGTGGAGGGAGAAAACGTCAGAAAACAAGGCCCTCCTTGGGGAGCCATCAGCAGTTATCTGGAAGAGAAACATCTCCTGCCTGGCCAAACGGTGCAAAAAGACAGAGTCCCAGGTTTCCATTTAGAAAGACGTTAGACACTGGGTGACAGAACCCTGGCTGTGTGTTATTCTGAAGGTTTTCAAAGGTTTAAGCAATCATCAAGGGGGCAGCTTTCTTTGTTTCTTTCTTTTTTTTTTTTTTTTACATCTAATCGATGGAGATGAAGAGAGGGCTCGAAAGGTCATGACGACTCGATTGTTGAAATAATCGTCAACTATGAGACTTCTACAGCACTTCAAAGACGCTTTATGTGAAATAATTTAGTAACATAGTAATCGATTATTTGTTAACTGGAGTGTGCAGACTCAAAAAAAGTCACTTGCTGACAAAAACAACATATTCAGAGCAGTAAATAAACCAAAACTGTACAAAATATGTATACATTTTGTATTTGAGATAAAAGCACTTTTGTTCGCCAACATGTTTTACCCAAAACTAATCAAGTGACATTTTTCCATATTCACCTAGTTCGTTCAAATTAATTGAACGTTATGTTATTGTGTTTAAGGCAATTAAATGTTTATTTTTGTATTTAAAATAAAAGAATTGAATTATTTGTTTATTTCCATCTTTTAATTTATTTATAATATTGAAAAGGCTTAAGTAGCTTAATGAAAAATCTGTGGCAATTTTTCTTTATCCGATTAATCAACGAATAGTCAGAATGATCGAGTGATCGACCGATTATCAAAATAATTGTTAGTTGCAGCCCTAAATTGGGTCTTGGCATTTAACTGCGAAAATGACGTTAAATCCAGGACTCTAAAAGAAAACAGATCCTTTGAATGCTGAAAATTAAAAACATTTGAATGACGATGTGTGTATACTTTTCTTATCGGAGTGCTAAAAGTGAGCTGCTCGCCACAGTCCAAGCTCACGGTTTAAAAAGCAACAACGACCTTTTGAATTCACTCCTCAGCACAGGTGTTTCTTATAAAAGTAAAAGAAATGATCTCACAGTATCTATCGGCTCACTTCTAATCCACTTTGAGCATCTTCCAGCCCCCACATATCTTGGCTGTGCTCTTGGCAGGAGCCTTCTGGCAGATTTCCTTTTCGACGAATTTCTTTGGAGTATTTTCGGAGAACAGGCCAAAGCCAACAAAGGAAAAGGTGGATGCAAGTCTGATGGAAGCGTGCTCGCCTCGCCTTGCTCCGGTGACCGACGACAGGCCGTAGAAACGCGGCACGTTCCGCCTAGAGTTGTGTGGCAATTCAGATGATCACTACTCTAAGAGCGCCATGAACTGAAATAACAAGCTCATCTCTCCCAGAGAGAGAGAAAATGAAACCAAGCAAGGCCTGCAAAGAAAGAACAAACCACTGACACTTTTATTTCCTATGAACATTCAGTCTCCCACATCGGAGGAGCATTTGGATCTATATTAGGAGCAGAACTTTTTCCAAAACGCAAGAAGCATTCGAATTACAGTCAGTGCTACCAGCAACAATTAGTAATTCATAACCCGGCTTGTGGCGAGCTCAAGTCTGGCTGCATTTGTCCAGTTTCTACAAAGACAGGCAGTGTTGGCTGGGGCCCAGCTGACCACATGGCTAAGCCCTGTCCACTGAGACAAAAGGAATTCCTAAATCTTCACACACTCACCGCCCACATGAAAAACTAATTGTTCTTCTATTGAGGTTTACACAAGAGAACACCGTTAAGAGTATCTGAAATTAAAGAAAAATTAAAAATTAAAAAATCATCTTACAGCCTGAAGGTATGTCAGGAGAGCACAGGAACATATTTCAAACAAGCTCCACTGCCGGTCCTAATTAAAGTAAAGGGAATAAGCCTGCTCACACACGTGAGAGATCACAGGGAAGGCTCTTATGTCTCCACTTGGTTTGATCTGTTCGCCTGTCCTCTCACACCTTAATCCGAGGAGAAAAACTCAAAGCGCGTTTCTGTGCCGAGCTGACAGATAAAGAGAAAAAGGAAGCCCAATTTCCTTTAATTCACTAAACAAAGTCATTTTCTGTTATAGAGAAATCAAAGTGAAAGTTGGACATCAGAGTATTTTGATACAAGATACATTATATCTCATTGATGCAACAACATGAAAGTCAGTCAAATTAATTAATATTTATTTATAAATACATCAATAATTAGAACTGAAACTCATGTTTTATGATTTTACACCCACGCTTCTCGAAGCGGTGGAACCCATTAGCTCAATGATTTTCAAGGGAAATGTGACAGAGAACAGAAAACAAGTGTTTGTGACTCCCTGTTCATTTTCCTCTATAAATGAGACTTTGTTCTAAAAATGATATCATATTAACCGTATTCTAGTAGCAGATCCGAAAAAACGCACTGGTTCCAGTCAGTGGCCTGGCTAAAGCTACAATGTTCTGAACTTACCAAAAAACTAGACACTTATTTACTATGATGCTGTGTTGTTCTGTGTGGGGGATTTCATTAAATGTATACAAATTACCAGAAACATGAGCATAATTTAAACCGTTCTCACTTCAGCTGTCAACAGGAAGGCTATTTGAATACGGAGAGGCTTTGGCTTTCTCATTTGATCAGTGCACTCACTTCATTGAAAAATGCAATAAATTGATCTAACTTTGAATGAGGACATTTCCATTTTGACATAATTAAATACAAAATTTCTTTTGGTCAAATATAAATTGGAAGGTGTTCTATTTTTGTTTTGCACAAAGCATACAGATCTAAATTAAAGTCCATTTCGTGTTGAACTATTAAAAAATGTTAGTAAATATGGTGTAAATTTTTATAGATATATATTTATAGGCTCTAATAAGAGCACAAATGTAACTATGTTCTCTCAATAAAACATCATCAGAAGGACGAGAGCGATTGTCATGGCTTTAAGGGCTCATGAGGAAATAAATAAATGAACTGCGGTGATATCTTACAGGTGTCCGTTTTTCGCTTCCGGCTACAGGAGACAAACCTAGCATACAGATTTTTGAAGCCGTACAGAAACTGTGGGTAATTTTTTTTTTTCTCACTCTTGTTTCTATTAGCCAAGTGTTAAGCTTCGGTGCGGTTTGAAAGGCAGCGGTGAAGAAGGAGGAGGGAGAGGAGGGGGCACCCACCGCGAGAGTCTGCCCGCTCGGCTGGCTCCTCCCGCGGTCAGCCTGCTTTTATTCCGCCGCAGGAAAAACCGTTATCTCGCATCACTACATCTCTGCCGTCAGCGCGGCCCCACAGCCCCGCGTTAAATAGTTAACGGCTCCAGCTATGAAACCGCACATATACATATTTGATTAACCAAACTTGACGAAAGTTTTCTTTTTTTCCTCTCTTCTTTTTTTTCTGTCTGAACCTTTTGAGTCAGGACACCCACACACACACACGTGCACGTGAGCGCGCGCTAACAAAACGTGCAACTTAATCAAGCTGACGTGAAACGCTAGGTTGATTTAACGACAGCTCCGCTACGTTAATGTTGTTTAAAAAAGCGATATACTGATGTAAACAGCAGTAAATGCGACGCAGTCTATTGAGAAATAACAGGAGGACTAAGCAAAAAGTTGTGAAAAAATGCGACTAACCTCTCTTTACGTTTCGGTTTACAGTTTCTAAATAGTCCACACGTATTTGGGGTCAAATATAGCGGGTTTACCGTCAGTCACTTTTGAGTTTAACGGTAGTTGCGTCCAACTAGTTAGTTGTGAGTCCACGGTCCGTTTTCCATACAACGCGGAGGTAGAAACGGCAATAAAAACTGATGCAGGAGTTGACTGGCCATGATGGCCACGTCCCAAACGAAGCCACGGGGCTCAAACGGCAGCTGCTTTGGGTTGAATTTTGTACTTACAGTGAGTTGAGAGGAGAGTCAGGAGGCAAGCCAGACGTGTTTTCGCCATCTTGGTGTCGATGCAATGCTCGGTGCGGCTGGCCGTACATGCGCAAAGTAGCCTTAACAGCTTTGGTGAGGATAGAGCGGGGGAGAGAGACCTAGAGGGAAAACTACCGGAGGGAGAGAGAGAGGCAGAGAGGGGCGGAGGAGCTATTATATGGGGTTTCCATAGCTACCGAAAGCATCACTCACACAGACAGGAATTTATAGTTGACACGATGAGGAAAGCTTTTACTACTGTGTCCTTACACTGCTGTTGGCAGGCACCAGCTGGGAACCCAGATATGAAACCACCAGCTTCCAGACTTGTATGTGATGTGGGAGGGAAGTGAGATTTGAAAAAAACAAAACAAACAAACAAAAAAAACAACATATATATAAAAGAGTGTCTTCCCATTATTTTTCTTGAATGAAAAGTAAACGCAAATGCTTTTAGGTGATGCTATAGCTCCTAAAGATAAATATAAATATAAATTACTGCTCTAGTAACCACCCAAGGCTATTTTAAGTTACATTTAATGAGATCAAACCTGAACTTAGTACTCTGCTGCTGTGACCGAAAGTGCACTCTAAAAACTGAGGGGTTATTTATTTCACCCC